TTAAAGAAGCAGTCTGGCCATGCTTCTGAAGAGCAGCTGCGCTGTGCTGTCCTTTGGGTACCACTCCTGGGAGCTCTGTCCCAGAGAGCATCCTGCCCCTCCCCCTGGGAACTCCATCCCAGGTAGGTGCAACACTGCTTCTGGTGGCAGGCTGGAATTCCAAACCAGTGGGTTTTATCCTGTGAGGCGCAGTGGAAGTGTGGCCCTCAGATCGTTGCTGCTTGACCCCCTGGATTCAGCCTCTTTCCCAGGGGTATGTACAGGGGTCTAATCTCCTCCTTTGCTAGAGTTACATTTACTTTTGCTGGGAAGCCCAGGGCTGGTGTATGTAAAGCTCCGGGGTCTCCGCACATGCTTGAGTATCTGCTCTGCTAAGACTCTGTGTGTCAGACTGAAGGCCCTGGTGGAGTGGGTTCACGAGGGGATCTCCTGACCCAAGGGTTGCAAAGATCCATGGCAGGAGCATGGTTTCCCAGGATCACATATTCACTCACTACTTCCCTGGGTGAAGGAGGTTCCTCTGTCTCCATGTTGCTCCTGGGTGGGCTGTCATCCTGCCTTGCAAAAGAAACCTAGAGATTCTCATGGTTCTTTTGAGATCTTGTTGGATGGACTGCGAAAGTGGGATTATTATCCATGAATGGTCAGCTAGACTTTATGTGTGTGGAAAGGGTGAGGGAATTAACATTTATTGAGCAAAAGGCCATGCTAGTTAAAATAATTGTCTCTGGGGACAGATTTTCTGGGTTTTAATCCAAACTCTGACATGTATTAGCCGGGTGACCTCGATTTTTCATTTGTAAAATGGATATGGGATTGTTGTGGGGATTAAAAGCACATAGAACAGTGTTCAGGATATAGAAAGCACTGTGTAAGAGTTGGCTGTCATTATTAGTCATCAGTATGTGCTGTGAACATCTTACTTAATAATCACAAAAATTGTTGGAAAATCCTGTGAGGTAGATATTTTCCTTACCATGCCCATATGAGAAAACTTAAGCAATGAGAAGTCAAAGTTACCAAAGTCACACAATTGCAGAGTGACAGAGACTTTAGACGCTGCCCAGTCCAAGGCTTTCATTTCACAGAAGAGAAAATTGAAGTTCAAAATAGGAGAGGGACAAGCTTCGAGTCATTTAGTGAGTCAGTGCCAGAACTGGGCCTAGAACTCAGCAGCAGGATTCTTCCTGTCAGTAGTTCTCAAACTTTGTCATGTGTTAGAATCCTGTGGAGGGCTTGCTAAAACAAACTGCTGGTACCCATGCCCAGAGCTTCTTACTTAGTAGGTGTGGGGGTGGGCCTTGAAAGTTTGCATTTCTAAGGAGTTCTCAAATGATGCCGCTGCTGCTGGTGTTGGTCTGAGGACCCTGTTTTGGGAACCACCGAAACACACCATAATTCATACATCATTTTCCCTTTTCATCATGGACTACACAGTCTGTGACCTACAAACACTTTCAAAGAAATCGGAAGCAGTGAAGAAAACTAAAGAAAACTACATAGCTAGCAGCAAGAAGAACTCCTTGTTTGTGTGGGACTCTCCTAGCTTTAAAATGGAAAGTCCTGTAGTTCTGGGCACAAGAGGATGTTTGGTCACTCTAGATGAAAGCAAACAAATGTCAGTGCCAGCTAAATGCCAAACACAAAAAGGCATACATACAGAGAATGTGGTAACTTCCGGCGAACTTGTTTGAAAAGGACTCATTCATTTTTTCTTCCAACAAATCTGTGTTATAAAACTGCTATCCATAAGGCACTGTGTTAGGTGCTGTGTTCCTGACCCTACAGAGCCCATTCTGCCATAGCGAAAGGTGAAAGTGACTCTACAGTCAACTTGATAGACATAGACCCATGCTTATATACTCAGGGACACCTGGAAGATATGCAAAAAAAGAAACATCTCACATAGGAAGTCTTCAGTGCATTGTGATCACGACCCAAATAATTCCCTTCTGTTTTTCTTCAATGTACTGAAGTGAGTACACTGTTGAGAAGGATTGATTGAAAATTTCCAAAAAGGAGGGGTAAGATAATTAATGAGTCAAGGTCTCAGGAGAGACAGAAGGTAAGGGGAGTCCTTCACTAAGTGGGGAAATTTATTTGTTTTGTGCCATTATCTCTCCAGGGCCACGAGTATGTCCTTTGCTGGCCATAAATCAATGCCGACCTCAGTTACGATGTACTCTTCAAGGCTAATTGATGCAAAACTTCAAAAATGGTAAACATCGATACCTAGTTTATTAAGAGTTTTTAGCATAAAGGGCCATTGAATTTTGTCGAAGGCCTTCTCTGCATCTATTGAGATAATCACGTGGTTTTGGTCTTTGGTTCTGTCTATGTGATGGATTACATTTATAGACTTGCATATGTTGAACCAGCCTTGCATCCCCAGGATGAAGCCTACTTGATCATGATGGATAAGCTTTTTGATGTGCTGTTGCAATTCAGTTTGCCAGTATTTTATTGAAGATTTTTGCATCTATGTTTATCATGGATATTGGCCTGAAGTTTTCCTTTTTAAGCTGTATCTCTGCCAGGTTTTGGTATCAGGATGATATTGGTCTCATAAAATGAGTTAGGGAGGATTCCCTCTTTGTACTGTTTGGAAAAATTTAAGAAGGAATGGTATCAGTTCCTCTCTGTATATCTGGTAGAATTCAGCAGTGAATCCATTTGGACCTGGACATTTTTTGGTTGGTAGGTTATTAATTGCTGCCTCAACTTCCGACTGGAAGTGTTCCCTTTGAAAACTGGCACTAGACAAGGGAGCCCTCTCTCACCATTCCTATTTAACATAGTATTGGAAGTTCTAGCCAGAGCAATCAGGTGAGAAAAAGAAATAAAGTGTATTTAATTAGGAGAAGAGGAAGTCAAATTGTCTCTGTTTGCAGATGATATGATTGTCTATTTAGAAGACCCCATTATCTCAGCCCAAAATCTCCTTAAGATGATAAGCAACTTCAACAAATTCTCAGGATACAAAATCAGTGTGCAAAAATAACAAGCATTCCTATACACCAGTAGCAGGCAAACAGAGAGCCAAATCATGAGCGAACTCCCATTCACAATTGCTACAAAGAGAATAAAATACCTAGGAATACAACTAACAAGGAATGTAAAGGACCTCTTCAAGGAGAACTACAAACCACTGCTCAACGAAATAAGAGAGGACACAAACAGATGGAGAAACATTCCATGTTCATGGTTAGGAAGAATCAATGTCGTGAAAGTGGCCATACTGCCCAAAGTAATTTACAGGTTCAATGCTATCCCCATCAAGCTACCAATGACCTTCTTCGCAGAACTGGAAAAAACCACCTTAAACTTCATATGGAGCCAAAAAAAGAGCCTGCATAGCCAAGACAATCGTAAGCAAAAAGAACAAAGCTGGAAGCATAATGCTACCTGACTTCAAACTATATTACAAGGCTACAGTAATCAAAACAGCATGATACTGGTACCAAAAAAGAGATATAGACCAATGGACCAGAACAGAGGACTCAGAAGCAACTCCACACATCTTCAACTATCTGATATTTGACAAACCAGACAAAAACAAGCAATGGGGAAAGGATTCCCTGTTTAATAAATGGTGTTGGGAAAACTGGCTAGCCATGTGCAGAAAGCTGAAACTAGATCCCCTCCTTACAGCTTATACAAAAATTAACTCTAGATGGATTAAAGATTTAAACATAAGACCTAACACCATAAAATCCCTAGAAGAAAACATAGGCAATATCATTCAGGACATAGGCATAGGCAAGGACTTCATGACTAAAACACCAAAAGCAATGGCAACAAAAGCCAAAATAGACAAATGGGATCTAACTTAAGAGCTTCTGCACAGCAAAAGAAACAATTATCAGAGTGAACTGGCAACCACCAGAATTGGAAAAAAATTTTGCAAGCTACCCATCTGATGAAGGGCTAATACGTAGAACCTACGAAGAACTAAAGCAAATTTACAAGAAAAAAAAAACATCAAAAAGTTGGTGAAGGGTATGAACAGGTATTTTTCAAAAGAAGATGTTTATGTGGTCAACAAACATATGAAAAAAATGCTCATCATCACTGGTCATTAGAGAAATGCAAATCAAAACCACATTGAGATACCATCTCACGCCAGTTAGAATGGTGATCATTAAAAAGTCAGGAGACAACAGATGCTGGAGAGGATGTGGAGAAATAGGAATGCTTTTACACTGTTGATGAAATACCATTTGACCCAGCAATCCCATTACTGGGTATATACCCAAAGAACTATAAATTGTTCTACTATAAAGACACATGCACACGTATGTTCATTGCAGCCCTGTTTACAATACCAAAGACCTAGAACCAAGCCAAATGCCCATCAATGATAGACTGGACAAAGAAAATGTGGCACATATACACCATGGAATACTACACAGCCATAAAAAACGATGAGTTCGTGTCCTTTGTAGGGACTTGGATGAATCTGGAAACCATCACTCTCAGCAAACTGACACAAGAACAGAAAACCAGACATCACATGTTCTCACTCACAGGCGGGTTTGAACAATGAGAACACGTGGATTCAGGGAGAGGAGCATCACACACTGGGGTCAGTTGGGGGTTGGGGGGCGAGGGGAGGGACAGCAGGGGGTGGGAAGGGTGGGGAAGGATAACATGGGGAGAAATGCTGGATATAATATGCACCTATGGAACAACCCTGCATGACCTGCACATGTACCCCAGAACCTAAAATAAAATTAAAAAAAATAAAAAAAACAAAAGAATTATCATATGAAGCCTCACAAGTCTCTAAAACCTTTCTGCAATTATTCCTCATAGGAATTACCACACGGGTGAGTTTGTTCAAGAGGAGCTGTTGGTGACTTCCTAGTTTAACTCCTATAGAGATGACTTGTATGGAAGGTAAAACACTACATTTTAACTCAGTTCCCACCTTATCACTGAGCTTGTGCTATCAAGCAGTTCTTACAATGTTTGGAGTTCTATTAGACTCGAGAAAAATCTAGGGTTTCAGTTAAACACTTTAATCCACAGGCCTATGCAAAGGACTGTCTCAAGGTAGTCACTAGCCCATGGGTTCTCAAAGTATGATCTGCAGAGCCCTGGAGGAGTCTCTGTTTCCCTTTTAGTGGGTCTGCAGATTAAATTATTTTTTATAGTAACACCAAGATGAGCTATATTCAATTAGGCATTTTCCTTTTGAAATTAAGCAGACTTTTGGAAACCAAGATGTGCATAGCCCTGTGGTAGGCTAAGTGGAAGTTATAAAGGCAACAGTAGCTTTTTTTCCCCCTCCCATTACCTCATGAGGGTACAGAGGACTCTTCCAGAGGCTACCTAACATATGATTATGTTGTCTCTCTGATAGCTGAGGGATGTGCACTTCTGTTTTCTTGAGTTTTAAATATTTATGTCTTAATACCTAAAATAATTGGTATCAATAGATAGAACCCACACCCAAGAACTCCTTGGGGCCCTCAATAACTTTTAAGAGTGTTAAGATGTCCTAAGACCAAAAATTTTGCAAACTGCTGCTTTATCAGGATTTTTTTATTTCTAGAATGCATTTCTTTCTAACTGATCTACTTGGGGAAAAAAAATCTTTACCTCATGGCAATTATTGCTTTCCTATCAATATGGAGATTATATTTCTGAAGGAGATTGACCAAAATTATATTAAAAGGTTAAAAAAAAAAGTGGATCCATGTTATAACATGAGGAAGAGAGCTACCACACTAGATGGCTGACATTAGATAACTCAGAGCCCCCTGTCTCTCACAAGTTTCCCTTACTGGAGAAAGGGTCAGCCTCTGTTTTGTGGGATAGGATAAGGAGACAATCTGAAGTAGAGTTTGACACAATATTATTCTACCCATATAAAATTCTGGTAGCCAGTGTGCCAGGTGTATTCATAATCCCGATGCTGTCAATTTTAAGCCTGAAGTCCCAAGAGGCGAGCAGTGTTTAATACATCATCTCTTGTTAAATAGCAGCCACAGAGTTGGCGGTAGCCAGTGAAGCATTCCCTGCCATGTAGGACACGCCAGTTGTCTATAAATAGGACCTGTGAATGGGCAAAAAAAATAAAAAAACAAAAACAAAACAAAACAAAAACAAAACAAAACAAAACAAAAAAACAAAGAGAGAGAGAGAAAACACTATCAGAAGAAAGGCAGACCAAAGGAACCCTAAGTCAGAAGAGATCATTTAAAAGACAGGCTTTAGGTTGTTCTCTGGTTACATTAAATGAGGTATTTTTCTTTTGAAATTAAACAAACTTTTGGAAACTAAGATGTGTATAGCCCTGGAGTAGACTAAATGGAAGTTACAGAGGCAATAGTAGGTAATAGGCCCTGCACTTGAGGAGCTTCTGTTTCTCAAGTAATTGTTCTCTTATCAAAGGAAATTAGATAATTGGTTTCTTTCTTTTTCTTTCTCTTTATTTTTATTCTACCCTTTCTCAAAGGGTTAAACTATCTCATTACATTTTATGCTAAGCTGAAGGTATTTTTCATCCAGAGGAAATATCAAAATAAAAATGGATCATGAAGCTGGAAGAACCCTTGGGGGTCATCTAGTTAAACACCCTCATCATACAAATAGGGTTACTGATGCCTGGAGATGGGATGAGGCTCGCTTCCAGGGCATTCAGTGAGTGAGTGGCAGGACCATGACCAACACCAAGAACACTTTTCTCTTTTTCCTTTGCAACACTGTGACTTGCATATTAAGTAAGTACCCATTCTTCACTGCTTCGGTATTACAGGCTTGCTTGACATCTTTAGAGATTAGGACCCACCCTGCCAGGCTTTAGTTTGACCCAAAACTCATTCTCAGGTCTCCTCAACTCTATCGTTAGAGTCCGGTGTGCTATATACCAACGATGGATGACATCATAAGGAACGGTATTGATGACAGCCCGGTCATAGTTGTTGTACCTAACATGGAATCATAAGAAGAAAGATCTCAAACACATGTTAAAGACATCTTTTGTTTAATGAACAATTTTACATAAGCCTTTCCCTATGTTCAATACTTGTCCCAGAGATGAAGTGACAATAAGTCAATGTTCTCTCAGGAATACAGCATTGGAGAGAGGAGTTCCACTGCCTATTGACCATGTCTTGTTTTTCTTTGAATAATCTAGGGATACAGGATAGAAGTTAAGTTCCAACTGATTTCTCTCATCTTACGATATTATATTTTATCAAAAATACTTTCCACAGGGTAAGTCTTTACTGGCCAAAGTTCATGGAAGCATTTGGGAAAGCTCTGAGCTTTCTCCTCACCAAGCTGAGGTGGGGTGAACAAGAGAGGTTGTATTAACAAATCTTTCTTTTTAACAGGATGACTTACAACTTCTCAAGTGTCTCCCTTTGTAGGAGGAATAGCCTAATGGACCGTTCACCCAGGGATCTTCAATTATTCATTCAACCCTAACATTTATTTGCATGCTGGCTACATGCTAGGCAGTCTATCAGGCATTAAAGATACAAGGATGACTACAGCAGACATGACCCCAGTCTTCAGAGTGTTTGCCTTCTATTGAGGAAGACAGATGATAAACAAGTAATAAATACATAAACAAGGTAATTTCAACTAGTTATAAATGCTATGAAAAAATAATAGTGTTATGTAATAAAGAATGACTGGAAATAAATCTATTTCACAAGGAGTGTTAAGTGAAGGATTTTTTGAAGAAGTGTTATTTGAGCTGTTACCTGCATGACACGAGACCAACAATGTAATAAGCTGAGGGGAGAGCATTTCAGGCAAAGGGAACAGAAAATACACAGCCTTGGGGTGGAATGGAGTTTTATTCTGTTTGCAGAACTGTAAGAAGGTCATGTGGCTGGAGCCGAGTAAACAAGGGTAATAATGGTGGGAGAAATTATGCAGAAGAGGTAGCCAGGGGCTAGATCATGTATACATTGCCATGTGGGCCATGGTAAGGACTTTGGATTTTATTCTGAGTACCATGGGAAGCCACTGAAAAACCTTGCCTAAGATAATGGGTTTCTGTTTTGCCTAAGGCAAATTAACTTTTCACTGACGTATAGTACACATACAGAAAACTATACAAATCGTAAGCTTGATGAATTTTCATGATGTAATCACCTCCATATCACTAGCACCTAGGTCAATAAACAGATCATTACCAGAACCCCAGAACTCTCCCTGATGCCCCTTTCCAGTAACACCCTACCCCCAACCCAAGGGTAACTACCATCTTGACTTCTGTCACCAAAGATTAGTTTTGCCTGTTTATATAAAACTTTATATAAATGCAATCACAATATGTATTCATTTGTGTCTGTCTTCTTTCATTTAATATTATCTTTAGGAGATTAATCATTGTTTAGCAATAGTTTAATGGTGCTATATAGAAGTTGATTGTGTGATCACATCACAATTTATTTATCCATTCTGCCATTGATGGACTTAGGAGTAATTTCCGGTTTGGAACTACTACAAATGGTGCTGATAAGAACATTTTATTACATGTCTTTTGGTGAATAAATACATTAACTTCTGTTTGAAATAAACTTAAGAATGGAACTTATGGATCATAAGGTATGTGTATTCTCAGATTTAATAGATACTACCAAAGATATTCTTTCCAAAGATAAATTGACATCCACTCATGCCATTTTTTAGCCTCTCAGGCAATATTCATTAGTGTTAGATAGTATATGGCACAATCAGAGCCAATATTCTTAGTTTGTTGCATATAAAACAAGCATAATAACATCTGCTTCACTGATCTAATTGGGCTACTGCAAGAATCAAATGAAAAAATAGGCTGGGCATGGCGGCTCATGCCTGTAATC